GAACTCCCTTCTCCCTCCTCGCTCCTCGCTCCTCGCTCCTCGCTCCTCGCTCCTCGCTCCTCGCTCCTCGCTCCTTCGCTCCTCCCTCCTCCCTCCTCCCTCCTCGCCTTCCCTCCCTCCTCCCTCCTCCCTCCCTTCCCTCCTCGCTCCTCGCTCCTCCCTTCTCTCTACTCCCTCCTCGCTTCCCTCCCTCCTCCCCTCCTTCCTCCCTCCTCCCTCCCCTTCCTTCTCTCTCTCCCGTCTCTTCCCTGGTCTCACCCTCACTGGGCGTGCAGGCATCGTGGAATCTCGACGTCGCCATGGAACTTTTCAAGGACCCTGACGCTGACGTCACTGCCAAGCTCGAGAACGTCAAACGGCAGCAGCACTTTGATCAGCTTGGTACCCTCCTCTCCCTGCCCTCCTCTCCCTGCCCTCCTCTCCCTGCCCTCCTCTCCCTGCCCTCCTCTCCCTGCCCTCCTCTCCCTGCCCTCCTCTCCATGCTCCTACTCTCTTCGCCTGTGCTCCCTCATTCCTTGTATTCTGCTACTCCTGTTCTTCCTCTTTCCTCTTCTTCCTCTTCCGTTCCCTTTCTTTGTTTGCATGGTGTCAGCGTCTTCACGCCTTTCTCCTCCTCTTCTTCCTCTTCCTCCTCCTCCTCCTCTTGTTCTTCTTGTCACTCGCTATGGCAGACGACGAGGAGAAAGAGGAGGAAGCGAAGGTGAAGCAGCAAGCCAAGTCATCCGAAGACCTTCGCAAAGCAAGGATTGAGCAGCAGCAGAGGGTGAGGAGGACGGGGAAAGGAGGAGAGAGAGGACGGAGGAAGACGGAGGAGAGGGAGGAGGGAGGAGGGAGGAGGGAGGAGGGAGGAGGGAGGAGGGAGGAGGGAGGAGGGAGGAGGGAGGAGGGAGGAGTGGAGGATGGAGTGACTGCTGGATCAGGTCAAGGCTCTTCTAGCAAAGAAGCAGAAGGATCGAGGTGGACGATGCAGGAGGGAGCACAAGGAGGAAACGGAAGGGGATCATGCTGCTGGAGGTTGAGCAGAAGGGAGGAGGTGTGAGACTGACGTTGAGGCAGCGATGTCTGAGGAGGAGGAGGGGACAGTGAGAAAAGGCTACATGACAGATGACATCGTCAGCGGGAGCGAGGAGGAGGAGGATAGCGCGATGCGGTAGGAGGAGGAGGAGGAGGGAGAAGGGTTGAATCTAAGGGCCATGCAGGCGACCGAAGCTGGAGGAGGAGGGGAGGGGAGGAGGGAGGGAAAGGGCAAGCAAGAGGAGAGCGGAGGCGAGGCAGAGGGGAAATCTG